TGCTTTCCACAGTGGCTGCATCAGTCTGCATTCCCACCAACAATGCAAAAGGGTTTCTCTTTCTGCAAATCCTTGCCAGCACTTGATGTTTGTTGATTTGTTCATTATAGTCATTCTGACGAGTGTGAGATGTTATCTCATTGTGGTTTTAATTTGCATTTCTCTGCTGATTAGTGAGGTTGAGCATCTTTTCATATGTCTATTAGTCATATATACCCACTGTGAAGAAGTGTTTATTCAGGTCCTTTGCCCATTTTTTAATTGGATTTTTTTTTTGGTGTTCAGTTTTATAAGTTCTCTATAAATTTTCAGTATCAATTCTGTATTACATGTATCAGCAAGTATATTCTCCCATTTTGTGGGTTGTCTTTTTATTTTGCTGATGTTCTCCTCTGAGGGGTCTCTGTTCTGTTCCATTGATCTATGTGTCTGGTTTTATACCTGTACCATGCTGCTTTGACTACTATGGCCTTATAGTGTAGTTTGATATCAAGTAGCATGAGGCCTCCAACTTTGTTCTTAAGATTGCTATTGCTATTTAGTGTCTTTTGTGGTTCCCTATAAATTTTTGAAATATTTGTCCTAGTTCTCTGAGATATACTTTTGGTAGGAATTGTATTGAATCTATAGATTGCTTTGGGTAGTATGGATATTTTAATAATGTTAATTCTTCCTATCTATGGACATGTTGTATGCTTCCACCTATTTGTATCTTCTTCGATTTCCTCAGTGTCATAATTTTCTGAATACAGGCTTTTTTACAACTAAGTGTAATTAATCTGCATTCAGATTTCATTACAATTTCTGCTTTAGTTTTGGAAGATGTATATTTCTAGGAATTTATCCATTTCATCCAGGTTGTTCAATTTGTTGGCATATAGTTCTTCATAATATTTTCTTACAATCTTTTGTATTTCTTTGTTGACAGTTATTTCTTGGTTGTAGGTCCTTGCTTTTCATCACCTTGAATATTTCATGCCACTCCTTTCTGGCCTGAAATGTTTCTGTTGAGAAATCAGATGACAGTCTAATGGGAGCTATCCTGTAGGTAACTACTTTTTCATGCAGCTTTTAAGATTCTCTCATCTTGAAGGTTTGCCATTTTAATATGATGTGTCTTGGTGTGGGCTTCTTTGGGTCCATCTTGTTTGAAACACTTTGTGCTCCTGGACTTGTGTGTCTTTTTCCTTCACTAGGTTAGGGAAGTTTTCAGTCATTATTTCTTCAAATAGTTACTCAAGCCCTTGTTCACTCTTTCTCTCTCTAGTATACTTATGATGTGGATGTTATTTTGCTTCATGTTTTCTCTTCATTTTTCAAAATTCTTTTTTCTTTTTACTGCTCTGCTTGGGTGCTTTTTTTTTTTTTTACCTTATCTGCCAAATCACTGGTTTGATCCTCTGCTTCATCTAACCTACTGTTTATTCCTTCTAGTGTACTATTTATTTCAGATATTGCATTCTTTATTTCTGACTGATCTTTTTTATGATTTCTGTCTTTTTTTTCTTGCTGTTGAGCATCCTTAAAATCATTACTTTAAACTCTGTATCTGATAAATTGCTTTGGCTGCCTCTTTATGTTTGTTTCTATGTATTAAGTAGATCTGCAAAGACTCTGGTGTTGTCCTATTTCAGATACTGTCTGTGACTGGCCCTCGGTCAACTTTTGGAGCTCTCAGTGTTCCACAGCTTGTGGCTCTCTCTGCTAGGTATGTTAAGAAAGAGTAAAGCTGTGCAGCATGGCTGATTCTTACCAGCTTTAGGCCTGGAGGAAGGTCAGCTAAAGTCTCAGAGCTCCCACAGATCTGCCTCCATCTGCAGGCTTTCTGTTAGGCTTTATCATTGTAAGTGTCTCTAGCTGTAATGCTCAGCAGCTGGGGTTAAGCTCCACAGTGTAGGGCAAGAGAAATTTCTATAGGTGGGGCTATTGCTCCCCACCCCCTGGCTGATTCTCCACGGAGTGGAGTGCTCTGCCTAAGAGAGATGACTTGCAGCCTGGGGAATGACTGAGCACAGGGATCGTCATGGACGTCTTTTTAGCTCTCTCCCCAAAGCCACCAATCCCACTCTCCTCACATGGCTCTAGTCTGCTCTGCTCTCCCTCTGCCAGAGCCCAGGCTAAGTGTCTACCAACAAAATTTTGTATGTTGGCCCTTTAAGAGGCTCTCTGTGTCCCTAGCCATCTCTCCCTGGCAGACAAAAACTCTGCTACTTTTTAAAGCTGGATGTTATTTAGGTTCCTTTCTCAGTTCTGGTGCTCTTGGCTGTGGAGCCTAGCTTGGTATATAGAACCCACACTTTTTAGGCGGAATCCCCCACACTTGGCTCCAGTGGGAGCCCAGCCAACCTGCTTGCACCTCCATACCTCTTACCAGTCTTGTTGTGGCGATATGGTTTCTTCCATGTGTCCTTGGTTATAAGGCTTCTCTCCAGCTAGTGTTCAAATGATTATCCCATATGATTTTTCCTTAATTTACTTGTAGTTCCAATTTGGTCCTGGAAGGAGGTTAGTATAGCTTCTACCTACTCCACCACATCTTAGATCTTCCCTCTTTATGGTTCTTTTTCCTTCATGGAACTAGAATCTGGGTTTTACTCTCTGATCTAATATTTACTGATTATGTCATCTTGAGTTAGTACAGTCTTTCCAAATTTCACTGTTTAATTTTATAAATGGAGAAGACAATATTTGTCTTACTGAGGTTTTGTAAGAATTAAATGGGATAATGTGGGAAACGTATCTCACATTTAGTACCTGTTCAGTGATTAATAACAGTTACCACTAGTGACTGCTTCTGACTTGCTTTACCTTCATAATCACCACAGCACCCTCTAGTGCAGGGTGGTTTGTTGTTGTTTTGCTTGTTTTACATTTAGCACCAGAGAAAAAAACTTCAGGCTCAGGAAAGTTAAGTAAAATCCGAAATAATCCAGCTAGACAATGATAGATGATGGATTTGAGGACTGTCTGACTCTAAAAATCTGTGCTTTTACTGTTATGCTACATTGCACTCTTCACTTAGAGCAACAACAAAACAAAACCCTTCACAGATATAGCATGATCTATCAAAAACAACAAGGCCAGTATGTGAATCTTGCCAGGAGTCTGCTACAGAGAGGAAGTACCCCAACCTCCTTACTCCCAATTATCCACCCCCCAACCACCAATGAACTTCGCCTGTCCTTTAAGGCCCTGTCCCTTTAAAGGTTCCTCTTGCAAGTAAATGTCAGCACCACAGAACCCAGAGGGAAAACAAAAAGAGGATACAGGTTCCATGATTTGCTAAAGTCCTTGAACCAAGCATCCTTTTAGTTTTTGACAGAATTAAGGTTTCTTTTTGTTGTTCAAGATTATTTTTGGTCTTAATGTTTCTAAATGTCCCTCCTGCAAACTTATATAATAAAGGTGAATATTGACTAACATTCTCAATTCCCACTGTGTGTGCCAAAATTTCAATTTGTTGAATGTGAGATCCATTGATATTGACATAGTCACACTTTTATCTTCCAAAAAGACTTCATGATATCAGATTTACTAGTATAACATTTCCCTGATGTATTATTTTTTTCTTTCCCTGATGCTGCTGGCAAATCCCACTCTCCTGCACATCCCCACCAGCCTCCCAGCCACATCCTCCAACCCCTGCAGTATTTTCTTAAAATGATTTAATTAATCCATGGATCAGAACTTCTTACCACTGAAGCTCAGGCACATTCCCTGAAGTTATTTGCAATCTCTGCTTCTTTAACTTTCTATAGACCCTGGCCAGGAGTGGCAGCTCCCATTTCTCAGTTTCTTCCCTTCCTTTCAACCCTATTTCAACCCCTAAGTGAAAGTTTCCATCAGAATTCTTCCCTGAGTATAAATGGGAAGGGAAAATTGGTACATTCTGGCTGTCGATATTGTGAGTTAATGATGGGAAAGAGAGAAATAACTAGGTCAATGCATTGTTGAGAAAATGAATTATTCAGCTACCAGTCAAGGATTGGTGGGAAATCCAGGACTCTTTCAAAGAAGAACACACAAAATGTAAAATTTGAGCTGCAGAGAGGGATACCTGTGCAGAATTCTTAATTATTTAAAGTATACTACCAAGATATGTGATTCAGTTCTAAGACCTCAAACTTTGGGAAGCAGAGAATCCTGAATGTTTCTGAACACAGAGCTGTGCCTTTTTCAGGGCTGAAATTAAAAGAGAAACATCAAGTGTTTGAAAGACGAAGTGAGAAGCAGTAGGCTAGGATGTTGGGAACAGCATCCATGGTGGCATACAGGTATGATTCAAGCTGAAGCACAGTGCTGAGGAGAGAGTCAGAAAGATTCATCTGGTTCTCATCCTAGGCATTCCACTCTCAAGTCTCCAAAGACCTTCTGCAGGTCTTTGTGTGCAGCCACCATACTTTTGGATTTTGTGCCATTTTCTTTATTAAAATAGTCTGGAGGCATATATTCATGCATGGAAAGATAAGGCAGAGAAAATGTCAAGAAGAAAAAGATGCCATGAGACAGCAAGAAATAAAGAGGGCTATAATAACTTTAAAAGAAAATCTTTAAGAAAAGCAGTAAAACTAGTGAGTTTTTACATTTACCCATTTGGGATTTCAATTGCTTATTTTTTTCACCAATGGTTTATTTTTTAGCAGATGGTTTTGAGGGAATAGCACCTAAACAGTTGTAAGTTTGTCTTGGATAAGCTTTAGGAGTATGAAACAGAATTATCAACTTCCTTTGTGAAGTTTTATGATGGTGAGAGGGACCTTTACTATAAAAACTATTAGACTCTATTTTAGCAACTAGTTTATTTTCCAAACCACCCAGAGAAGATTAAAATGGAATTATAAGTTAGTAGCAACTATCATCATCAATTTATACTGTGATTTGTAATAATATCAAATCAGCTTAATTTATTTTATCAAATAAAAAACAGTTCTTCATGATTCCCAAGATCTTATTTTGCAGAACCTGACAAAAATCTATTAGAATAGTGGTTTTATTCTTACCTTGTAATCTTGTTTTGATTTTTCCCCTGAAAGATTGCAGCTCTGTGTTCAGAGAGCTTGCAGCTTCTATTTATTACCCAACATTTGGATGAGAACCAAATGACCACAGTGAGGATATCTGAGTGGGAGAGATTTTTGGTTTCGAATTGCATGTAAAGAGGCAATAGAGTGGATAATTCTGTCAACATCTAAGAAGCCCAGCTTTCTACCCACCTTCATCTTAAAATTACTCCAGCAAATAATGGATTTTATATTCTGTGGGGTATTTTTTTCTTTCAGCTCATATCAAAATCATCTCACATGTAACCATCACCCCATCTCCAATTCACAACCTTCCTCTTTACGCCCCCCCCCACTTCAACTTGGCTCCCTTCAGAGTTAAACTGCACAACTTCACCTTCGGTGCTGTTTATTTTAAAACTCTTTGTCATTTGTACTTTCACTTTTGGCAATCGGCTTCTTTATTTACAACCTTCACTAAGAGGTCAGTTTATTCTTTCAAACTCCTTTGTACAGAATCAGCCTCAACTACAAGTCCAAAATATGCAGCTTATTTGCAAATAAAAGTTCTCAGATACTCCATGCATCTTAAAATACCTGACCTGCCTCTCTGCTCCCCATTGTCCCTCCATTCTTCCACTTATCCCAAAAATCTCACAGGAGATACTGCTTTTTGTTGCCAAAGCAAATATTGAACTATAAACCCCAGTATTCCTTACCTTGTTAGGAATTTTGCTCCTACATGCCCTCTCTCCCTCTCTTGGCATCTATGATATAACCATAGCAGAAAGCAAAGGGTGAAAAGATGTTTTTTTTAAAAAGCTCAGGCTGTTTCTGCATTATAAGATCATACATCAGAAGGAAGACTGCTTTTGTACTTAGAAAGAAATTGTGATGGGGCTGTTTGTTAAATATACATGGGCTTAGCAAGCCCCCACAACCATCCAACGCACACATTTAAAAGGGTGAACTTGAAACAAAGAGGTAGAAAAAATGTTCTGTAAAATTAAATAACAGGAATCTTTTATTTGACTCCTGGCATACTGAGAAATAGAAACTTAGGATTCTGGAATCCAGGGGAAAGTGAAGATTAGATAGCAACAGGTAGCTGGGCAGGAGTTGGGAAACTGTGGTAGAGTTCCCTTGGGAAAAAGAACTGAGGAAATGGGGAACACTGAAGTCTATTATTCAGTTTAAAGCTGTTTCCTGTTCTGTGTAGTCACGTTCTTCTGAAACACCAAACCTGAGCAATTCTCTACTACACACCGTAGTGTTGTGTTTGTGAGGAATTAAGGAAGAGGGCTGTGTCCACAATGGGGACAGAACAGTGAAGATAGAAGGAAAGCAGGCAGGAGGTCAAGATGACTGGTGTTGATAGGGAATTGAACTGTGAGATAAATGGGAGGGAAAGGTAATGAGTAATAACTAAGGGAATGTCAGCCTCCTCTACTCTGAGAATTCTTCTAAATACTGAAATTACAAAGGATAATAGTGTGGCTTTGTTACAGAACAAACCCATGGGTGGGACAAGATACTATCATCAAATGGATCCCCCCCTTCTCCCGGGGTCCCCCTGTACTAGGTTCACCTTGCCTGCCACCAAGGAATTGTAGCTCTCAATGCCAGAGATTGGTAAAAAGGAAAGGAACTATTTATTCAGAAGTTATACAGACTTACAGTAATGACTTAATGTCTGTTAAAATCCCAAAGTCCCTTAAAACACCCCCTAACACACACAGTCCTTCCTTCCCCCCTTTGCCCAGTCTGAGGTACTATGCCTTAGGAAAAGAAATAGAAGTGTGTAACTCAGGTAGCCCCCAGTTCTTCCCAGTAATCTGTACTTGGCTGGCAGGCCTCCCACAGTTCCCAGCACCATTAGCTATGTCACTGCTGCAATCTCCAGTTCTTAATCCAAAACCACGTGGCCCACCTTCTCCTGGCCCACCAACAAGAGTCCTTTCACCCCTTTCTTTCCCTGCAAGGTCCCTCCTGCTTCCTAAGCCATGTGGCAGAGGGAGCCCTAAGGCCACGTGGTTCCAAACCTTGAGATAGCACATGGTTCTGACACACATGGTTGCCGCACCTGGGCTTAAACCCAGATGCAAATCTTCCTCTGCATCCCCATCTCCAACTCCTCCCACAATCAGTTCCACTCGCCAGCATTCCCATATTTTTCCAGCCTTTCTGGGCTGCTTAGTAAGTCCAGGCAGACATGGCCTCATGGCATAGAGAGAACCATTTCCAAGCTCTCAGGTAGGCACTGTAACCAGGGCGAGTTGCCTCCCAGCTACATCCTGGGTAGAAGTCACTGCCATCTCCCTGGCTCAAAGCACAGGCACAGCTTCTTAACATATCCATGAAACCAGTCAAAAGTTATAGATATGTTAAATGACTATCCTTAAGTTATTTGCAAAACTTGATATATAAACTAATTCAATGGCCCTGCTGCATGTGTTCCATCCCCCAGTTCAGACTTGTGAGGGTGAGGACATCCTATATTTTTAATATTTCCTGGACACCCTGAGTTCTGGACCCCATTACAAATCCCTCTTTGGCAGGGGTTGGGGGGGAGGTGCGGGAGGCAATGCTGGCTGCATCCTGTTACAGATATTTCCTTTCAGATACACAACCCCCTTATAATCATATAAAGGACAATGGGTGAAGGTCTCATCTTCTTGTAGCTACTTCAGGCTGCACACAGCTGTCATCCTACCTACCCTTGAGTCAGGGGTTCCCTGAAAGAGTGGGCAAGGCAGCACAGAGGGTGTCCTTACTGTAAGGGGAAGGACCTTCCAGAATCCAGGTCAGTTAGCTGTTGCTGGGAAGTTGCAGGCTTGATGTTCAAAGGCTGGTTACTGGAAAGTTGGCAACCTTGTTGTATTCTGGAGGCAACAGATTTGGCTAGAGAGTTGGAAGACCCAATTAAATAATGACCACTAAATGATGAAGGCAGGGACTTCAGTAAAGAATGGCTTATTTGGAGGAAGATGTACAAGGCACGCTACACCTATCCAAAGCCCTGTTTGCCCACTGTACTTTCTTCAGGCTAAGGGGAATATTTTAGGATTTCCTCCTTTTCAGATTTCTGGGCCCTTTTTGTCCAAGCCATCAAGACAGAAAAGGGAAAACTGGTTTTAAAGTGAAGCCCATAGGCTACCCTAACCCTCCACCAAGCCAACCACCTAGTTCAGCCAAATGGTTGAGTCTCAGGGGTGATGATGAAGATGAGTTCCTTAAGTGAGGTCCATATTACTAAGGTAATGAGGTCATAGGCATACGCCCTATGAAAACAGAAGGAAGAACACAGATGTTAATTCACACAACAGTCCCCAAGCTAGTCTCTGTGCCTGCGAGAATATTTTCTGGGAAGACATCCAGTTGCAAGGCCTCTGTTGCAATGACACTTAATAGTGGCAATTTTACAAATCTTTTGTGCCTGTAAATTGAACATCTTTGGTGATATTACAAACCTAGTATCAACTTCCAAATGAAAACAAACTTTCAAGACAGTTAGCTGCATTATTCCAATGTCCAATACTGAGCATCGTGATTTTCCTCAAACCACGATTTTTCTCCTTAAGATCACCCTCATTGTTATTAAAGGGACTACATTGAGTCCAGCTTTTAATTTTGCCTATTTGTTTGCATAAGCACACTAAGAGCAGCCTGGATCACTTATCTTTAAATCTGCTTTGCTGGAACTCACACAGGAAACCTTTAGATTGACTTTTTAGTCCGCCCCTAGGGGCACAGAAGCAGAGCCACACATTTACTAACTGGCTTCACCTGTACCAGTTTTTTCACTCAAGTCCTTGAGGCTCCCATTGTGCCTGCAGGTTCCTTTTTAGCCATTTTTTAGGAAAGCAACCTTTGTTCCTTCCCTGGAAAGTCTGCCACAAACTGCACAACCAACCAAAGTGCCAGGCTTTTACTTGAGGGCTTTTGCTAGCTTTATAAACTAATCCCTGTTCTTCAGGGCTTTCCGGTGACAACCAGCACCCAGACATGCCTCCTTCTGGCATGACATCCCTTTCAAAATCTTGGTTAACAAAACCACCATTAATGACTGGTCTTACTGGATGTATGCAAAGAAACCTTATGTCATCACTTACTCCTTCAGAATGCCAAATTCTGGAGGGATCAGGTAGGGAGAAAAATACAAAGCATGAAGGAAACCCCTTGTCTTTCTGATATCCACTAAGATTGCATTTCCATGTCTTATACTTTCCCTGTTTACCTTCCTACTTAGTGTGAAGTTTTAACCTTCCCGGGAAACCTCATTTTCGTTTTCAGAGCAGGTATAGAACAAAATCTAGAACACAAAGTCTCAGAAGAACAATGGACAGGAAGAAGCATTCTCTTGCACCACTGCATCCACTGGTGCCCTGGCAGAGACATGCCCTTTCAGGCCAGGTCTCTTGGCAGAGACATGCTCCTTTGCATCAGGCTGAAACACTCATCATCCCTGAATGACCCCTCCTGGGTCCCGAGTGACAAAGGCATTCTCCCCAAGTGGTTACAGATGACCTTTCCTAGATCTACAGATACGGAGGATTTCTGATCAGAAACAGCCAAACACAAACCACATTCCCATAAAACCAGAAAACAAGTAGTTGTGGTTTCCTTTCCTCCAGGTTTAAAACTTTCACAACCTTTATACACACACACACACACACACACACACACACACACATACATACCCATCCAGATTTAACCATAATTCACTTTTAATTTCTGTTCCTTTCCCACACTGGGAAGGACTATACTTAAACTCAGTATCTGACAGCTAAAAGGTCCCTAGATTTACAAACACATGTATAAAATAACAGAAACATTGTCACCCTGTATCAGGATTTGCTGTCTCTCTCCAAATGAAAAATTTCAAACCTTCCTCTGGAGTGCAGGTCCAGCTTTCCCATTCAGTATCAACCACAGCAGTACAGTCTATGTCCCCCTTTGGTAGTGCCCATTTTACCCGTGTGTGGTGAATCCAGGGCTTAACTCCCATCAGCTTCAGGGAAGAATGCATTGTCAATAGGACATCATAGGGACCAGTCCATTAT